AAGTAGAGAAAAGAGGAAAAAAGAGAAAAGAGGAAAAAAGGGTTAATGAATCAGTCCTAGGAGAGCAATGTGAACAAAAACGATGTCCTAGTCTGGACTGGGCAACAAATCAGCATCTTGCAAGAAAGGGTCTTTCATGTGGGTAGAGGCTTCAGCAGCAAGTGACAGGAAGTGATGTCTAGTAAGATGGCTATTTCGAGCTGGTGAAGTCTTGTACTTTTATGGCCACAGAGTCCTCCAGTGAGCTCTAAAAGTGGAAAAATATACTAGATTATGTTCTTATCTGATTGGATTCAGTGTTTATTGATAAGGCAAAACATCTAGTCCCTGTTGGCATGATGCCTTTTAAGATGTAAGATGGAGTTTTCCCAAGTTGGGGTCTTTTCATAAAATTGAGTCTTTTCCCAAGATGGAGTCTTTTCCTAAGATGGAGTTACTTATGTCAAGGCACTCTATACAGTTACCTAGGGATTTAGGAGAGATTTAAATAAATGTTTTCTGAAAGTATATGACGTAGTTTATGACTAGATTTCCAAGTGTGAAAAATGGGAAGGAAACTCATTTATATAGCAGGTTCAATATTAATCTTTTGCACGACTATTTTATTTAATCCTCACATTAGGATATTTGTAGTCCTGTTTTTTTTTTTTTATATTAAGAAACTGAGTTTAACTATTTCTAATAACAAAGACATGGAACCAATCTAGAATCCCTCAGTGGTGGACAGAAAATGTGGGACACTTACACCATGGAATACTATGGAGCCATAAAAAAGAATGAAATCATGTCCTTTGTAGCAACTTGATGCAGCTAGAAGACATTATTCTAAGTGAATTAACAGATAACCAAATACTGCTTGTTCTCAGTTATAAATGGGATCTACACACAGACATAAAGATGACAACAACAGGCACTGAGGACTATCATATGCGGTGAGGGAGAGGAGGAGTGAGGATTAAAAAAATCTACCTATTGAGTACCAAGCTCTCTATTTGGGTGATAGGTTCAACGAAAGCCCAAACCTCACCATTATGCAGTATACATATGTAACTAACCTGTGCATATACCCCTGAAGTTAAAAATTAAAAATAAATAAATAAATAACTAAATTTTCAACTTAAAAAAAAAAAAGGAAAGAAACGAACCAGGTTTTGAAAGACTAAGAAACTTGCTAGGGTCAAAGCTTCTAAGAGTTAGAGGTGAACTCTGAACCGGAACTTTTATATTCCATGTCCATGCTGACTCCATTTTACTAGGATTTATGAATTAGATTAAGATAATCTTTAAAAAAGTTATTTATGGTGAGTGGTACATAGACCAGAAAGGGGGGCCAACTACAAATGAAAGTATTCTTACATCATTTGTAATTTTTCCCACTGATGAGTTGTATTTTGTCAAGTTTCCTGACACCATGCAGGGCTTTTGTATTCACTACCCAGTTTTCCATTCATTAAAATGCTTTAAATAATATACTGATAACTGATTTAAAATATTCCTGGATTGTGAGGAAACATTGGGTAGATTTTAAGAAGGATTTAGGAAAGTAAGCCACATGGAGAAATGCTATTAAAATTGCTACAAAATTTTAAAGACAAAGCCAATTTTGGTATATAATTTTAGATGAGTTGACCATATCACTTTGGAAATAGGTTAGAACATAGGATTGTGCTCCCCAAGTATATGTGCCTGTGTGGAAATTGTAAGAAGAATTTAGTGTAACATAGGCTTAATTTATGAACTTCCAGCCATAATGTTGTAGGATGACTTCTTCTTTAGTTATGTAAAACATCCTGAAGTTAATTAAATATTAGCATTCCTTTAATTCCTGCCATAATATCTTGAATATGATTATAAAATATTGATACAATAGCTTTAGAAATTAATTACTGAGAAGCAAGCTGGCTTGCATTCTTTTTTTTTTTTTGAGTTGGAGTCTCACTCTGTCACCCAGACTGGAGTGCAGTGGCTTAGTTACAGCCACCCCAGTGTTGACAAGCTGGGCTCCGGCTATCCTTCTCCCTCAGCCTTACAAATAGCTGGAACTACAGGCATGCGCTACCATGCTCGGCTAATTTTTTATTTTATTGTAGGTATGAGGTCTTGCCAAGTTGCCCGGGCTGGCCATGAACCTGCGAGCTCAGGCAATCCACTTGCCTTGGCCTCCCAAAGTGCTGGGATTACAGGCTGAGCCACCGAGCTCAGCCTGGTTTACATTCTAAAAGTTATTTTTAAAATCTGGATAAAGAATACCAACGAGGTTTTAATATTTATGTCTCTATACATTTATCTAACATGCTGCTCATATAAGAAAACATAATATTAGACTGAAATAAAGCACTCTGATTCTGGAAGCCTCGTCTGCAGTGTTGCTTGAGAACTACACCAAAGTCATACTGGAAGACTCTTGCCAACTATGAGATGATCTCTTGGCTGTTGCTTTATTTATTTTGTATTCATTCCTTTTTAGGGAAAGGAGTTGAGGTGTATACTAATACAAAAAAATAGAACAAAATAATTGAAAAAAGACCAAATGTGCAAAAGCCATGTGATGGTAATTGCACCAGGACATGAGAAGAACATTGTTAATGCAGTTGGTAATAGGATTAAACTTTGTGTTTCCCAGCTATCAGACAAAAAGAAAAATATGATGGTATATTTAAGCATTATTTTCCAGTAGTTTGAAGCATGTGGGAGCATCAGGAGATATGCTGATAATATAAACTTTGAAGATTAGATGTAGTTTTGCAAAGAAATATGCCTAGCACATAGTAAATATCTATATAGTGATATAATAGTAATCTATGTATAAACATATTCAACTTTAAATATGTAAAGAATTTGTCTTGAGTATTTTTTCATTAATCATTTAAAAGTGGAGTGCTTTAATAACAAGTTTATAAAATATAAATAGACAACTTCATCTGTTTATTTTTTATACTGACTCTTGATAACAAGCTAAGGACATAGTATTTTATCATAATATTGTGAATGCATATTTTAAATATAGCAATTGAAAAATGGGGTTTTCTGATGATTTATCTTAATAAAACACAGCACTTAAAGATAGTAATAAAATAACCTTTAGTGTATGTAGTTTTAGTACCAATAACTTTGGCCAATTATTTCTTTTTTTTTTCTTTTTTGATTTTTATTTTAAAATTGTGGGGTGTAATTCAGGACTTGGTATACAAATATTCACCGTGCAGGTACCCTTATTGATGAGGTGTTTGGCCTATTATTTCAAGGAAGCTTTTTAACAGACAATTTGACATGAATGCTGTTGAATGTTGTAAATGATATCAAATAGACACCAACCCCCTGCTTTAGTTAAGGTTCTATAATTGATATTTTATTAGAAAATGGTCAGGCCTAATGTGTATTAGCTCTTAAGCAGAGGGCCATTCCTGTCTTGCTGGAATGGATAAAACCTCTTACAACATTTTATCTGTTGAAAACCTCTCTATGTAAGGTAGCTTTAGTCTTGGACATACACTAATTTTTGTAGTTGTCACAATCATAACCAGGTATTAAATAATTTAAGTTTCATTATGAATTTTAAGATACGTTTATGTTTTGAAGAATGTTTATGTAGTTTTATAAAGCAGGTCTTGCGTTTCTGGATAAAGGCCTGCTTTCCCCCCCTCCTTGATTCTATGTACATTCAGTTAGAAAAATGTGATCTTTTCTTTTCAGAGTGCTACTGAGATGGCAGATTATGTTCAGTGTCAGTTTATATAATCCTTAATTTATTTGACTTTGACACTCCAAAACTATCTCATATGATTTTTAAGAATCAATTTATGTGCTAAAGCTTTTATAAACATCAAATTTACAGTAGCTATAAACTGTATGCTGATGAAATTTTTTCACTACCCATAGTGAAATGTGTAGAAAATGCATGTTGTGATTACATGCCTTACCCTTCTCCAATAGCAGTACAGAATCTGAATACAAAGAGATGATATGAGAGTGAGAGTACATTCCCCAAGCTTTTTTGTTGTTACCATCATGGTTCATTGCTTATGCTTTGCTTTATATTTTATTCTTATAGAAAGTAACTGTATATATCTCATAGAAAGGTCATATTGTTTAATAAAAGACAGTTTATCATCTCTTACTATTTAATTATTTGGATATCAATTTAAAGTTTATAATCTAATTCATTTGGTCATATCAAAAGGATAGTATTTTATGAATTTTGGATTATCGATAATAAGGAAGCTGAAATCCAAAATAATTTATGCTTTGAACACTTTTGTGCATATTCAGAGTAGATAAAAATAAAATCAAAAGACCTCGGCATGATAACTCAATACTAAATTATTAAGTGGATTATGAAATTTTTTTACTATAGTTGGATATCTATAATATAATATATTTACAAATTTTATATCTACTCTGATGTGTTCTGCATAATTCACAATTGGCTATCTCAGACTCTGCCTGTAGTTATTTGCACGTGTGTGTAGTTAATGACAGTTTTTCTTTTACCTTTTCAAGAATATATATATATATATATGTATATATATATATATATATATATATACACACACTATTTTTAGTGTGCTACTTAGTAAAAGACAAACAGAAATATTTTCTCTTTCCTTCTTATATATTCTAAACTAAATTTTATTCTAATATTTTGGGGAGAATGATGATAATATTTAGCAGTTCTCATGCTTTTATGATACTACCACCTAACCAACTGGAATCATTTGTGTTCATATAAAGGTAAAGCAATAATTATTAAGGTTATATTCTGATGTTTGAGCTAGCAAATGCTATGGAATTTCTGTAGAGAGTAATTATATAGAGAAAAAGGTCTTTTTATACTGCTGATGGCGCTCTCATTGAGTGAACGAGTTATGAACCTGGTTGATGACGGAAGAGCAAAAATATTTGTGCTGCTAATCATTGAAACCCTGTTTATTCTGGGACTGAATTAGTTATTAAAAATAGCAATAAACATATACATACACCTACATATATTTTTTTCCTAGGACTATAGAGTTAACATCTTTCTGAGACAAAAATGGAATGATCCCAGGCTGAAGCTCCCTAGTGATTTTAGGGGCTCGGATGCACTCACAGTGGATCCCACGATGTATAAGTGTTTGTGGAAACCTGACTTATTTTTCGCAAATGAAAAAAGTGCCAATTTTCATGACGTAACCCAGGAAAATATCCTCCTCTTTATTTTTCGGGATGGAGATGTACTTGTCAGCATGAGGTATTATTTTATATTTAATATTTGTGCATTTATATTTTCCTTCTGAAATCAGTGAATCACAAATAAAAATATTAAATAATTTATAAGACCCTTGTTTCTACTTTCAGGTTATCAATTACTCTTTCATGCCCTTTGGACTTGACTTTGTTTCCCATGGACACACAACGTTGCAAGATGCAACTTGAGAGCTGTATGTAATTTAGAACATAAATGATTATGGAAATAAAATGCTTAAAACTTCTAGGCAATACATTCTACTGATATGTTAGATAACTGGCAAAACAGATGCTTTTGATTAAAAATAGTCATTAAAATAATTTATTTAGGGAAATTATAGTTATTTTAGTATATTAATTTGAATTAAGATTGACAAATCCTTTTAGTATTTGCCTGATTTCTGGTGATGTTGGTGCACAATTTTAACTTATGCCGATTGCCGTATTCATTTGAATTAGCAATAGAGGAAGGATAAAAGAGAAAATGCTATCCTAATTTAACTTTTATGATGTTAAAACCACATTTTTTCAGCAGAAAATTTGGAAAACATTGAAAAATATTCTGTAAATCTAACCAAGCGTTCATTTTTTTTTTGCAAAAACAGTATCTTATTAATTATTATTTGATGAGTATATATTAAAGTTTATAAATTTAGAGCAGTTTTACTGACAGACATTAATTTTCTATGGATGCAAAAATTGTTTTAAGCTTTAAAAAATTGCAGTTTTTATGTTAGTATGATTACATTTTTTCAGTTTACAAAAGATACGGTAGTTATATTAATTGAAATTATTAAATATATAAAATGTATTAATTTGCTGCGATGCTTACTTTTGAAACCAATAATAACCCATAAATATTGAAAAGTTAATGCTAAAGTAAGGACTGTTTAGCCTGAATACCTATTGTAAGATGCCCTATTTCTTCAGTCAGTAAAGAAAAATAACTTTGTAGTATATCTTGCAAATGCTGCAAATTATATACTTGGAGTTACTTCATGGGTATTTGTTGTTTTCTGATGAATTACCAAAGTGTATCCTAAATTTGAGCAATATTTATTGCTTTCTAAATATAAAATCAGATTTTGCACATAGAAGTGTACATATGTACATATTTTTATATGTTTTATATCCCCAGGGGTGCCAAAAATGTGTACACATTTTAAGAGATGTTATCCATGTGTTACTTTTAGTTTACCATATTCAGAACTGTCTGAATGCTGGTGGTAACCACTTTAAGCACTTCTTGTAATTGAAGTCAAACATGACTTGTATTCATGTACAATTTCAATACAGTTTTTTCCTTTCTTAAAATGTGTATACTTTTTTTGGTATCTTCTCTCTATATATACCTCTGTGTCAGTATGTACTTGTATAAAAAATTCCAACTGTGAATTTATATTTTAATTTAATTACTGGATGCACTAAAGGATTCCTTTAAAAATACATACGCTTTAGAGTTAAGTAGACTACTGTATGCTATAAAATTCCTTGAATTGTAGTTACATTGCCTAAACTCAAAATGTATGCTTTAGGATTCTGAGGTAATGCTGTAATGGTGTCCAACTCAGGAACTATTTTATTATTCTTTTGTGGTGATGCAACTCCTTTAGGGAAGTTTGCAATGATTTCTTTAAAAAATTAGGTGTTTCAGTGCTTATATTTCTTTATAAATTCTAGGTAGCATATTGCATGGTTATAAATGTTATACATTTGGAAAACTTACACCACTTATTTATCACCTTTTTATTGGCGACAGTTAACAAACCTCACATAGAGAAATGAATTACTGTATATGATGCTTTAGTGCTTTATTTGCAATACGCTGATTATCTTAATTTAGTCTTTCTTTAAGGTGATTTTCTATAACTCTTGTGCTTGTATTTTCATTACTGGCCATAGATTTTATCTTTTCACATTTTTAACTATAATTTTTTATATAAGAAAGCCCTCGTTTTCTAGCTTTGCTGTATTTAATATTTGTATTATTAAAATATTTTGAAAAGCATTAGTAATTAACTAGATTTTAAACTAACATTTTATTTATTTTTGTTTACAGTTGGTTATACAACTGATGATTTACGATTTATCTGGCAGTCAGGGGATCCTGTTCAGTTAGAAAAAATTGCCTTGCCTCAATTTGATATTAAAAAAGAGGATATTGAATATGGTAACTGTACAAAATACTACAAAGGCACTGGTAAGTGTAATCTTTAAATAAAACTAAGCCCTATTTCAAATATTTGTTTTTATTAATATATGCTAAGGGAAGAGTAGAAGAAAGCTAGTTAAACATAAAATTAAGTAGTTTATTTTACATTCATATGTTTAACTATTTTACAGAATTATATTTGCTAAAATTTTTGAACTTTTAATTGCTAGATAGATCTACTTTCTTAATGTAATTCTGGTACTAAGAGTTTTTTTCAATTTTTTGTGTTAATAATGCAGATACCCATGCAGTTGTTTCTTTAGATGTTGCCAGGAAATTCTACTTCTGGTAGGATTCAATTCGGGGCTAAATATTTTGGATATAATATGGCTGATATAATGAATATGTATTCATCTATTTTCTTTTGGGTAGTTTTTAGATTGTAGTTGGCTCAAATTCTTAATTTTAAAAATCACTGATCTTTATTTGCTGCAAGGGGTGTGAAATAATTGGACATCAGTAAATATTCCCTGTACAGTCTTCTTGGCCTAGGTCATGAAACAGTCAATATGAAAGCACAAAAAATTAACCTCATTCATTGAATTGTATCAAGTTTTACAGAAAATACAGTACCCACTATTCAATACTGTCATAATATGATTAGTGTTCAACCTTTGAGTCTTTACAGGTAGTTATAGGTTATTGAAGGATTTAGATACTGAATACAGTATTATTTTACTTAGCACTGAATTCTGATCATTACAGTAGTAGTAATTATTAGCTCAACCTGTAAATTATCATGCAATTCTAATTCTTTCTCAAGAAGTAAATAATGTCAAAAGATAGTCAGCAATAGAAATAATTAAATTTTAACTGTTGCAACATGCATGTTGACTTGAAATAATGAAATTTATATAGCACAATTATGTAGAATTTAGAGAGATCTGAGGTTTGATCTAGAATGCTACCATCATAAAAAATAGCTTTTATGTGCTATTTTTGACATCATTAAGGGCAAAATAAAATTTAAAATACTCTTGTAGATATTAAAATGAGAGATAGAGAGAACATCTGCATATTTATAGTGTTATAAAGACAACACGAGGCAACTTGGGGATAAAGTTAGTTTAAACCTCGGTTGTTGACTTTCAAGTGCATTTAACATTATATTACAGTTATTTATAAGTAGTTCTTTCTCTTAGAATATATAGTACATTAGGAAAGAGAGATAATAATCAAATATATTGTGAAGTGATTATCAAGTTTTTAAAAATTGAAAATGAAGAGCTTTGAAAAAATTTGACCATGAAGTGTCAATGAAAAAGTAATGGATAGATTATCAGATATAAAAATGGATATTATTGATAATTCTGAGCCAGCTCCTTTATTTAACACATGAAATAACTGAAGGGCAGAGTGACTAATTACCTATCGAATGTCCCTAGGTAAATTAGTATCAACCATGGAATTAGACATAGTATTCTTTCTCCCATCTATACTCCTTCAAATTAAGAAAATTGCAGTTTTCAGAGATTTTTTTTTACAACTCATTTAGTAATGAAAACAGTAATTTTCAAAACCAAGAAAGCCTTTGAGACTGTTGTGTAAAAACATACTTAGTAAATAACTTTTTTAGTTGTTGCTGTAGTAGGCATTGTTTTATGTGCTTCGCAGGAATTGTATAATTTAATCCTTCCAACAAATCTATGAGTTAAGTATTTTTATTATCTCCATTTTAACACATTAAAGTAATGAAGCAAGGACATTTGCCTAAGGTCATGCTGATATTAAGTGATGCTCTGGGACAGTAGTTCTGATGTTGGCACCCTATCTGTGGAGTCCTCTTATATTTTGAGAATAGTCACCCACATCCAGATATGTGCTTAATATTTCAAAATCAATTGTGCCTTAATTGTTTTGAGAAATTTGAAAGAGACCCCATTGAAGTTCTAAGCTTCATCTAGAGGTGAAAATGTCACTAGCAATTTTATTTGTAATTTTATGTAATAGCATAACATTATATAATATGAAAATCCTGGGGGTGTTTATCTTTTCACTTTTAAGCCTGACTTTTAAAAATCTCCGTTTAGGGACTCAGCAATGAATAAAAGGCCTCTGTCCTTTATAAAGCCATATTCTAATGTGGTAAACAAGTAAACAATGTAAAAATAATTCCTTTTAGTTCTTAGGAGGAAATAAGATGTACCATGTTGTAGAAAATTTGGGGAATTACTCGAGTTATAAGTTTTTTTGTGTTATTTTTTGAGTCATAAATAGGTCACTGAAATTTCATTAATTGCAGAAAATAAAAGCAAAAAAACTTACACCTAACAATAGTTTTTGGTACTTACTATGTTTCAGGGACTTTATCAGCATTTACATAAATCATCATGTGAATATAAGTAAAACATGTTTTAATGTTTGGACAATATTTAGAAATCTATTTAGAAAAATAGGACGTTCAGAATATATACAATGCTTAACAATGTAGAATGACAGAAATAAATAAATAAATATATATATGTATGTATATGAGCAATACATATAAAACAGGCAATATTTTAAAAAATTTGTACAGGAATAATGACTCAGTTTTAACTTTATTAAAATAATGCTTTTTCATGATTACCGAAATAACAAAAATAGAGAAATATATGGGAAAGCAAGTATACAAAAAATACTTAAATTGGAAGTCTGAGTGAATAATGAAATGAAACTTCGCAGGAAATAGAAAGTAAATTGAATTTTCCCAATGAACATTTATATCAATTAGCTGCCCACCTGCCTCTCATAAATGTAACAGTACTAGGAAAAGATCAAAAAAGATCAAGAAATGTTTCTCATAAAAGTTTATGGAGCAAATCACTATAATATCCAAGCATATATTTTACTGCTAAATGCATCCAAGTCTCGTGAAGCTCCCTAGTGGGAGCCTTCATAAAAGGGACATGGTGGAAACTTGCTTCAAAACACAGGACTCCTGTTAATAGGCTATTATTTAACCATACGGGGATGGAATGCAAAATTTTATTTTGAAGTATGCTACTTTATAGTAGACTGTTATAATATTTGTGACATCTGAGGCTACCTAAACATATATAATTTGTTGAGAAATATATTTCCTATGCACCCGATCTAAAATTAAAATCTAAAATTAACTTGAACAAGTGATGCTATTACAAAGTAAGGTACAAAGTAAGGTACTTCAGAACCAATTTTAGGAAACCCTCTGAACCTTCTTAATTGCAGCAATTGTACCTATGAAACAGTATATTTTTGAAATATTGCACATGATTGTTAGTTAGAAACATATGTTCTTGTTCGTCCAGGCAACAAGTTAACACGGATAGTGGGACAGAAAAGAGAGGGACACTTTTCATTGTTTTGTTTTTTGTATCTTTTTAAAACTTGTGAGCAATTTAATATATTGCCTACTTTTAATGAAATGAACATTTTAAAAAAACACACCCTGAATTTCTTGTTTTTGATTTAATGGAAACATTTGACATAATTAGAATTTACTTCAGTTCAGATCCTTAATTATTTTTGTTACCTTATTAGCTCTGCTGTCTTTCTAGCCTCTCAGAAGTAAAAATGGTTAGTTCACATTGGAAAAAGGATAGATTTATTATCTAAGTTACTTGTTCTAAGGATGTAAATATCCATTCTTTCAGTCAACATTTATTATGCATCTATTGTGTGCAAGTACTATTCTTGGTGCTATTAATGAATAAATATGAAAATAATTCTAGTGTCAGAAGTATATATACACACACATATATATGCTTTTGCCAATTAGGAAGATGAGGGTAAATAATGCTTTTAAACTGTAATATGGTAAAAAGTAATATAATTCTTTTCCCCATAATTGCTTTGTTTATTCACTGTTCATTTATTAGTTTCACCATTTAAAATTATGTACAGTATAAACTGAAAATGATTAGAAATTATTCTATTTTTTTGGTATTTATCCAAAACCTTACATTTGTTAAATAGTAAATGGCATATTTATCTAAATTAAGCATTTTAGGCATTAAATATTATATTTAAATTTTTAAGTGTATGAGCCAAAAGTTTAAAAAAAATCTCAAACATCTGGAATTATCTCTTCTATTTAAGTAAAGTATTATGAGAATATTTATGTTCTCTTTTCCTGAAGGCAGCAAAAGCTATTATGAAGCTACTCATAATTTGTGATTAATTTTGGAAACTAGTTGATGGCATCACCAATCTAGAATTGGATTATAAAACAATGTCTGCATTTGTTTCAGCATGTGAAAACGAAGGCCCTTTTTCTTCAATTAGAGTATATTTGAGGGCCCAGAGGGAAAGAATTGAGAGAATATCAGATGTTTGCACTTTACAGTCTTTTACGTATATGGATTGAAAGCACTAATTTCTTGCTAATATTCATTACCAATACTTTCTTAATTTTTTAAGGTTTAACCATACATGAGAGTTATTGTAGACTGCCGTTCATTCTAGATAAGATATGGTATGTGTAGCTGAAAATTTTTCTGGTAATGCGCAGTCCAGGAGTGTTTCTTCTTAGACTTGTTCTACTTTGATTTACTGCTCCCTGTATGATTCGTTTAGATCATTTGCCCCAAGAGTACCTGCAGGTGAGGAAAGTTCAAGTCTCTGGCAAATTCTGTGAGCACTGACCTAAAAGCCTAGACACTGACATTGAGGAGCAGCAGGTGGGATCTATTTCTCAGTGTCATACTGAAGTTGCAAAAGGTCAGGTGAAACTTGCTCCATCATGTCACCCTTTTAGATCATAAAAATTTTTATGTATTTCAAGGAAAAAAAAACATTTTTAAGGTGTTTACTTTGTACAATTACTTCCAATAGGAGTGCCTTACTATTTGCAGTACAACATGGATGTTTGCAATCATGTGTGGGTGAGAATTTCATGCCTTTCATGTGCTTGTTTCTGAAAGGCTACTACACCTGTGTGGAGGTCATCTTCACCCTAAGGAGACAAGTCGGCTTTTACATGATGGGTGTCTATGCCCCAACCCTGCTCATAGTGGTCCTCTCTTGGCTTTCCTTCTGGATCAATCCAGATGCAAGTGCTGCCCGAGTGCCCCTGGGTAAGGTGTCCAGACTTCTCTCTCACTAAAGGAATAGCTTATATTTTTATGTTATTTCTTTCTATTTTACTCTATATATTTTTTATCTGCTTGTCTCCATGAGGGGCACCCCTCAAAAACCTGAATTTATTGATAAAAAAAATTGTGCATTTATTCTTCCATGTTTCAACTGTAGTCACCTTCAAAGTACTCTCCGTTTGATGCAATACACCTATTGAGACACTCTTTCCACTGCTCAAAACAGATTTTGAACTCATCGATTTTTATGCCTTTTAGGGTTTCTGCTGTTTTTTGTTCCGCCTCTTCCACATCAGCAAAACGTTTCCCTTTGAGGACTTTTTTAATCTGGGGAAACAAGAAAATTTGCTCAAGTCAAGATCAGGTGAATAGGGAGAGTGGGACACGGGGTCATGCCATTTTTTGGTCAAAAACTGCTGAACACTCAGTGCCATATTGGCAGGTGCATCATCATGGTGGAAGAACCACTCACCTGTTTGCCATAACTCGGAATATTTCTTATGCAAATCGTGATGCAACTATCTCAAAACTTCCAGATAAAATCTTTAGTTGATTGTTTGATCTGGTGAAACAAGTTCAGAGTGTACTACAAGGAGCCCGCTCTCCAAAAGATAATTCTGTTTTTTTTGGTGGGCGGGGGGGGAGACTCTCCTAGTATATCTTTCTGTTATCTTTATTACTATACAATTAACTAATTTGAAACACTGAATGTTCAAATTGATGGCAACTTATTTCACTTTTTTAGGCTTCTTTCAAAACTTGATATTGAATGAGATTTTCTCAGTGTTTATGTACTCTAACCTAAGTTTTTCTTTTCATATCCTCAGGGTATTTTAAGCAGGGGATCTGTTCTACTTTTTTCTGTCATAAAATAATTATTAGTACATTATTTTCACAGATTAAACTAGAGTCTAAACCCTTCTGTAGAGCCAAAGTCAAAAACAAATAACTATTTTGATGGAAATCTTTCCAAAAGATAGTGTATATCATCCCATACTCTTCAGGAATAGTAATATAAGCAATTTTTCAAAATTGTGTAGCATCATTTTCCTAAGTGCTGATTATGATCTGCCATATCAGAGGGGTGGCTAGATAACTGGCTGTCTCTCCCTTGAATGCCATGCTCTCCAGTTAGTTGTGTTTAATCCTCTGTGATATAGAAACACCATTAGCTTAGTCTTTTGAAGATCATGTCTGTATAACGTCTAAGAAGTCCTTGCATGAGGAAATAAGTAAGAGAGCTTCTTATGGGGGGGGTCAACTTCAAAGTACAGACATTGTGACAACAAATTTTTATTTTTTTGAAGAGTTTTAAAATTGTTTTTTACTTTGTGTGTGTGTTTTCTGAATATCTTCTGGAACTTATACAGGTAAAACTGTGTTGTATCTGACCTCTAAGGAATGACTGGTTGCTACATTTAATTTTCTCTTTCATCAAAAAGACCTGTGCAACCCTCCCTCCTGACTTACTAGACAAATTAAATTAAATACATATCTTAAAGAATAGAAAACCAGACCTGATCTCAAACCAGGTGAAGTGTGGCCCAAAGCAAGGCCCAAACCTTATCTGTATAATGACTATTTGTATACCCAATCCTGAATTTTACTCTGTCTTTAAAATACAAATTTTTTAAAAAGAATAGAAAACCAGGAAAGAAACCATAAAAATGACAATTTTATCTAAATAAAAAAATTAGTGGTTTACATCTAATAGAAATCACAAAGACCAAATCTATATTTATATAACCAAAAATGTGGAAAATTTTATTCTGAGTGTTGTGTATCTATAATGGAGACAATGACAACTGATAGATTAATTAATTCCTTTCATGGATGAAAATTATCTATGTACTACATTTTACTGGGAATATAACCACCAAAACTGGATTTAAATTTGTAGACTTCTAAAATATATAATATAATTTTCCCAAATAATCATGTTTACTTATTAGAAGTATTATGTATTGTTGCAGTAGTATAAATTTTAGGCTTCCCAGAACACTTTGGAGGCATCTCAATCTCTAATATATCCTTAAAAGATTTTTCTTTGAAAATTTCCATTCATTACTGGACTTCTGATATAAGGTACCTGAACTGTCACTTAACATCCAGGAGACCTGTTGTTTGGAGAAGTGTTTAATGACTGAAAGTCTGGAGTCAATCCAGGCTTGAACCCTAGCTCTGTGCTTATTAGCTTTGACAACTGGGACAATGGATTTAACTTCTTTAAACACAACTCTGCTAAAATATCAACAGGGGTGATAAAGTACACAAGGAACCCTAGGAGTTACTAGGGGACTGAGAAAATGAGTGAAAGCCTATATTATACATTCAGGAGTTAATAACATGCTACATTTATATATTGCTGTACAGTTTTCAAAGCCCTCTTAGATATTTTGATTTCGTTAGCAAAAATTTATTTTGTGCTATATGCCCTGTACTATTCAAGAAGATGGAGGTACTAGTTAACAAAAATAAATAGCTAATAGAAGTTAGGAAAATATATTAAAATAATACTTCTTAGTCTTAATGAGTATATATGTTCTTGGAAATAAACAGATACTAAATAAGTATGATATATCATGTCTAGGTTGATGTTGTAGGACAGCCAGTTTGGGGGCAGCAGTCTGCTTGCTAGAAAAGGCTTCAAGGAGAGATTGATACTGGATAAAGAAACAATGGCAGTGAAGAAGAGTCTCATGCATGTCTAGGAAAGAGTGGGCCCGGAGAGAGAGTATGCCTGGAGGTAGGAGCATGACTGGGCACTTGTGGAGCATACCTGGGCACTTATGGAGCATACCTGGGCACTTGGGGAATGACAAGGAGACCTGTGTGGTTGGAGTACAGTGAGTTCAAGGAAGAGAGGTGGGAGAGGAGGTCAGAAAGATAACAGTAGTGAGGGATGGAATGTGCAACACCTGGAGGCATTCTGATGGCTTTTACTCAAAATGAAATCGGAAACCCATGGAGGCGTTTGAGTGTGGTTTGAGTAGTATAAATTAAATTTTAAGATCTCTTTGCCTACTTTGTTGAGAACAGAAAGGGCAAGGTGGAAGCAAAGAAAGCAGTTAAGGGGCTACTGCAACAATTCAGGTAAATAATCATGGTTTGTACTAGGTTACAGCCATGCTGGTGCTGATAAATATTGGATGATGGATCATAGTAAAGGTAGATGTGTTGCATGTGAGACTTAAGAACGTAGAATTAAAGTTGATATCGAGATTGTTTTGAATGAAAAACAAGAAAGATGAAATTGACATGAACTGAGATGGAAAGAGCTGCAAGTAAAGTGGTTTGAGAAGGCAGGAGGACTAGGAGCTTTGTTTTAGGTATGTTAAATTTGAGACATCTGTTAGGTGAAGATGCCAAGAAGTTGGATGTGCAAGCCAAGTGTTTCTTGGAGATTTGAGGACTGGAGTAAGAATTTAAGATTTGTCAGAATATGGATGATCTTTTTAAAGTGATGAGACTGAATGGACTCAAAAAGAGTGAGTGTAAGCACAGAGAGGGACTAAGAAGATGAAGAACAACCAGTATGAGGTAGTTTCCTAGAAAACAAGTGGAGAAAGTGTTTCTAGGTCAAGAAAGTGATCAATCAACTGCTCATTGATCAAGTTTGGGGCTGTAGATTGCCATTTAGATTGCCTCCTGGGGAGGTCATTGGTGCCCAGACATGGACAATTTCCATGTCATCAGTAGAGGAAAGACTGATTGGAGTGGCTTCAAGAAAGAAGAGGAGGAGAGGAACTGAAAACATTCACTAAAACACCTTGTTGGAGATTGTTAGCTATAAAAAGAAAATAATAGGGAAATAGTTGGGGTGGGGATAGGAGCTGAGAGGTTGTTTTGTTTTTTGTTATTTAAGGTAGATGAAATCATAGTAATTTTATTTTTGATGGGAGACAAGCAGTAGTGAAGGAAAAACTGAGTGATGGAAAAGTGCACAAGCAGTATTCTTAAGAAAGTGAGAGGAAATAAGATCCAGAAAATGGAGAGATTGGCCTTTGCTTGGGGTAACGTGGGTTTGTCCCAGGGATCAGCAGATGCCTATAAAATGCCAGATAGTATATATATTTGAGGTTTTGGGGTCATACAGTCACACCACTAAAATCAACAACAGTTGTAACCATAAAATAGCTGAAGACAATAGTAACAATGAATATAGATGTATTCCAACATAGCTTTACTTATAAAAATAGATGGTGGGCTGGATTTGCCTACCAGTCATTGTTTGCTAATCTCTGGTCTATAGTATCAGGAGAGAAGACTGAGTTTATGAGCTCAGGCAGAGGTAGGTGGGTAGATACTCAAGTGTTTACATGTGTTGCATTTCCTTATTTGGTGAATTCTCTCGATTCATCTATAGATACAAGATGAGTTGTGAATTAATAGCACAAAAGCTGTTCATAGTACTTTCTTTTCATTTTAATGTCTGGTTATAGTGATGTCCCATCTTTTATTCTTTTTGGGGGGGGTTGGAGTCACACTTTGTCGCCCAGACTGGAGTGCAGTGGCACGCTCCCGGCCACCGCAGCCTCGACCTGCTGGGCTCCGGCAGTCCTTCCGCCTCAGCCTTCCAAGTAGCTGGAACTACAGGCTCGCGCTACCACACCCAGCTAATTTTTGATTTATTGTAGAGATGAGGTCTTGTCAAGTCGCCCAGGCGGGTCTCAAACCCGCGGGCTCAGGCAATTCACTCACCTTGGCCTCCCAAAGTGCGGGATTACAGGCTGAGCCACCAAGTCTGACCTATCTTTTAGTCTTGATACTGTCAAAGGGTGAATGGAATTCTTTTTTTCCCCCCAACCACTGTAACTTAAGGCCTTTTAAAAATTTTTATTGGTATTTTCTAATTTATATTTTCCACTGATTTTAGCTCTTATGTTTATTGTTTTATTATTATTATTATTTCTTCTTCTTCTTCTTCTTCTTCTTTCTTTCTTTCTACTTACATTGGATTTAATTTGATCTCTTTGAATATT